AAAATAGTGCTAGGGATTAGATATATGGTAAAGTGTTTGCCTAGCATGCTAGAAGCCCTAGTTCAATCCTTAATACTGCAATAATGATGGTGGTGATAGTGGTGGTGATGTTAATGATAAAATTTTTGTGATTCTGAGAATTGAACCCAACACCTTGCACACAATGACAAATGTTTTAATGGTTCTAGAAGCAGAGACTACAACTTTAACTGCTGGCTGTGAAGTCTATCAGAGAATCAAGAATCTCTACTGAGATATAATTCAATTTTTTTCTCTGAGACAGGATTTCTCTGTGTAGTGTTAGCTATCCCAGAACTCACTCTGTAGGCTAGGCTGACTTCAGACTCAAGAGATCTGCCTGCATCTGCCCCCCAAGTGATATGATTAAAGCTGTAAACCACCACTACCTGGCTGGTTTGCTTATTTTTATGTGTGTATGCTTATGCATGTATATATGTGCACCACATATGTGTAGGAGCCCAAGGTCCAGAGAGGGAATTGGATCCCCTGGGACTGGAGTTACAAGTGGTTGTAGACTTCTATGTGGCTGCTGGGAATTGAATCCAGGTGCTCTGGACAACCAGTCATGGAACCATCTCTCCAGTCTTGAAACTGACATCTTAGTTTATTGATTACCACGAAGGACAGGAAGGCACCTAAGTGTCACAGCAGGAACTGCATATGTGCTGTCTGACTTTGAAGCCATAGCATGTATGTGGGATTTAGAAGATAACTTTTAGGAGTTAGTTCTCACCTTCCATTGTGGATTAGGGGGTCAAACAGGCTTGCATGGTAAGTGCTTTACCCACTGAGCCAACTTGCCAACCTTTTGATTATTAAGAGGCACTGCTTGGAGCCACCAAGATGGCTCAGCAAGTAATGACATTTAATTTTCGGCAAGCCTGGTGAACTAAGTTTGTTGCCTAGAACCCACATTAAAGTGGGGAAAGTACAGACTCCCACAGGTTGTCCCCTGACCTCCTCACATACAGGGCCCCTTATCATGTACATCTATTAAGGCATACCTAATTTCCTTTGCTTAAAGAGAATATCTATGAATATTGCCATTGCTCTTAGTTGTTCACCATAAGTACATGATAAGACACTATAAGTGAAGACATCACTCACTTTGGATGTTGAACAAAGAGAAATCAACCTTGACTGACCAAGAGCCTCTCTTCCTGCTGGCTAGCTTACAGGAAGCCAGGAGGGGTTACATAGCCTGCTGTGGGGCAGAAGCCATCAATGCTTATACACAGACCTGTACCCCAGATAACCACAATACCAACCTATCCAGAAGGATATGCCAATTGGTGAAATAGTGTCATGAAGGTTATAGATGTGACTAACCACTTTTGGATTGGATATGAGGCTTGATGGTACTGTAAATGTGGTCAAAAGCCCTTGACTCAGGAGATCATGTGCTCTCGGGTGGGGGAAACACTGTTATTGTGGTGCTAAATGGTCATGTTGCCAAACTACTTCTAAATACTTATGTTTTTATCCACATGTAATGGTTATTCTTGGTTGTCAATTTGACTTCATCTGGAATTAACCAAAACCTAAATGTCTGGGTACACTTGTGAGGAATTTTTTTTTGATCCAAATTGAAAGACCTACCTTAAATCCAGATCTTTTGAGGTGGGAAGATCCACCTTAAATCTGGACTACACCTTCATGTGGCAGCCTATATAAATGGCAGGGAAGAAGGAAGCTCTTGCTCTTTACCTGTTTGCTCTCTCACTCTTGCTGGCAAGTCTGTTCCTTCACTGATATTAGAGCCTGCTCCTTTGTGATTCTGGTGTATACCAACATCAGCTGAGGCATCCAGCCTATGGGCTGAACAACTACTGGATTCTTGACCTTCCATTGGGAGATAGCCACTGTTGGAATAGTCGGAACACAACCTGTAAGTCTAAATTATATAGACATGGGATATATAATTATATATGTGGGATTTATAACTTACAATATATATGGGGTATATGAATGACATATGTTCACTCATCAGTTCTGTTTCTCTAGAGAACCCTGACTAACACACCATAGGCTTGTGTTGCTTTCAACTTTGGTCAGAGAAGTGTCTTTTTGCAGTAGGTAGTGATAAATGCAGAGAGTTATAACTGGCCAAAGTGCTGGGAATCAATAACTGTGAATGTTTAGTTGTGGATGAATCATCTGTATCACTCTCCACTCCCACACCCAAGGCTCAGAAAACATCAGGGAAAAGGGAGCAGAAAGAATCTAAGGGCAGTCGGACAGGGAGTGGAGCTATAAAAAGTATGGACTCTGAACATGACATGGCTCTTGCACGTATCAACTCACAGAAACCCTGCACAAGATCAAGCCCATCAAAATTCAAGTGTGGATGGGGCCCCTACCTTTGGTGGAGGAGCTAAGGGAAATTGATAGCTGATAAAAGAGAGTCCCTCCCTTTCAGGGATGTGGCTGTTGGTATGTTGCCTTTGCCCCAGTTGATGGCTCTATATACCGTATACTTGTGTATATATAGACAGCACTATCAATAATAACAACAACAAAAGCATAACATAAAGTCGGGAGGATATGCAGTTGCGGGACTAGGAAGTGCTGGAGGCAGGTAGTGGTAGATCAATATAATCAAAATACATCAGGGAAGGAGGATGAGCTAGGAGAGGGTATATAGTAATGAGCCTGCTATACATACGTTTGAAAGGGCTAAAGTTAAGAGGTTTTCTAGAGAGAGATCATAAAAGAGAGAAACAGGTAGAATGGGCCAGGACAATTTAGGTCCAAGAATTGTTTTGTTAAGTATTGTTTGTGAAGAACATTGGCATGTTCCACCTTTTCTGATGACTAAGGTCTATAGGGAATATGAAAAGAGGATTTACTATCTAAGGAGGTTGCCAGATGTTGAGTTCTTTTAAAAACAAAAGCAGGGCCGGGCATTGGTGGCACACGCCTTTAATCCCAGCACTCAGGAGGCAGAGGCAGGGGGATCTCTGTGAATTTGAGGCCAGCCTGGTCTACAGAGAGAGTTCCAGGACAGTCTCCAAAACAATACGGAGAAACCCTGTCTTGAAAAACCAAAAAAACAAAACAAACAAACAAAAAAAGCAGGTTAATTTTCAGGTCGTAGAGATGATAGCAGGCCAACAAATAAAGAATGATTTGAGCTGGAAGGATGCGAGTGGTCTCTTCTATCTCCTCAGACCTAGATGGGTAAATTCTATCCAAGCTGAGGAAGTGTCTGTGAGAAGACAGGAAAGGAGAGATAGGTCCTGAGAAAGGTAAAAAGAAGTTGACGTCCCACATGGCATTGCTTATGTTGGGTGGGAAGGATGTGTCATCATTGAGCACAAGAGGGAATGATGGAGTCAGTTTTTATAACTGGAGTCATTGAGGTGGCCGCCCCCTTTTTTCTATTTGGAGAACATCATCATTGTGTGTGTGTTTGTGGGGGGTCCCTGCCAATGCCATGACAAGCAGAGCAATGATCCATATAAGACAAGAATGAAATCCAGTTCAACACAATTTAGTAGCAGACTTCTACAGTCTGACACTGGGCATTTTATTTTAGACATTTAAGTACAATACAATTTTGGAAAATTGTGTCCATCCCATGTGCACAGTAAAGCTTAAGGCATGGCTGTATTAAAACTCTTTTGCATAGTGCATGTGACCTCTTCCATAATTATGTGTTTTATAGCTAAAGGGCTAGGATCTGGTGTGTTCTCAGCAATACAGACATTGTAGAGGTCGCCAGGATGTAAAGCGTGTGTGACATCCCAAGGATGGGTTTTATTGAGTGAGAAGCAATGCTGAAGATAAAGGTCTAGGGAAGAAGGGGATAAACGTGGTCAGTCTGGGGAACTTGGGTGTGGCCTGGTCCTACAGATAGCACCTATCACCAGGTGATTAATAACATCCATTCCCAGCCAGCCTTCTGGGCGGAAAAACAGTATACACATCCCTTCCTTTGAAGGGACAAGCCTGCATGTTTATCATTCCTGGTTTCCCTAGTGCTTATCTGTGAGCTCCAGGACCTCGTGTCCTCCATACATGATGGGGTTAGACGGGCTGGCATGAGACAGGGGCTGGAAGAACAGCAGTCAACAAATGAAACAAGTTCGAAAGAGCAGAATTTACAGGACTGGCGTTATGAGACAGAGGGGCTAGTGTCTGTTTCTCAAGGCTGTCAGTTGGGGTGACGCCTCTTGCTATCTGATCAAAAAAGCCCTTGGTGGGTGTTGCAGTAGATGATTGTTGCTAACAGAGGCAAGCGGGAGGCTTGAAAGAGTTTATGTATTAATTAGAGGTGTCCCCCTTGAAGTGAGAGAGCTTTTTGTCAAATTAGGGCTTGAGAGTGGAGAATGAGGTGTGTATATCTAGAGTCAATACACAGTGACCTTTTGGTTTTGCGCTAGTTTGTCAGGTAACAATGACTTCTGCCGGTTGGAAGGTGAGTGTAGGGGAGAGACTGAGCTTCTAGGGTGGTGGTGTTGGAACCAGGCATTATGCTCACCCCGCCCCTGACAATGGATGGGACACGAATTCAGGCAGATACTTAGGCAGCTCAAAGGGTCCTGTGTTGCTCCCTGCCTCCTAGCGGGCAGGGCCCTGAGAAGCTGGCCTTTGGGTGGAAGGCGGGAAAATGGCAGACTCCTCAGATCGGGCGCAGGAAACCCCCAGTCACTGGGGCCCCCAAGACAAAAGGAAGGAGAGAGCAAGGGGGAAGAGTGCTTGAGTCCAGATACCTGTAATATGAAAAGAAAACTAAGAAGGTAATGGAGTCCGCTACTTCTGGAGCCACTGCTTCTGGGTCAGCTGGAGGGAAGCCACCTGAGGGGAGGAAGGCCAGCGCATTGCCAAGGAGCAAAGAAGACAGCCAAGTGATAGGAACGGGAGGCCTGCAGTCCACCATGGCGGAAGGACGTGGCCCAGCTCCACCCCACCTAACCCTTCCAGCCATCAACGACAAGAGCGTGCTCAAGAAGCCTCCCCAGCTAGACAGGACAATGTCAACGGTAGCCGGTCCACGCTCTGTGCCACGCCTCAGAAAAAAAAAGAACCCTTCGCAAGAAGAGACGGGACCCCCAGAAGACCGTGGCCATGATGGAGTGGCAGACACTGCTGCTGCCCCTGCTGTCTGTGAAGATGGAGAACACCCTGCCTCTGCTGGGGGAGAAGGCTGAGAAGGACTTGGCAGCCGTGTGCTGAGGAGAAGGAGAAGCTACAGGGGCGGGTGCTGGAGCTGAGGCGCCAGCTGCTGCTCCCGCAGAAACATCAGGAGCTGCTGCCATCCTGGATGCCCAGGTGGAACTGCTGGGTCCTTTTCAGGCCGTGGCAGAGCGCTTCAAGGAACAATACAAGACACTGGCCACAGCCCTGGATACCGCTCAACGCGAGCTGTCCGTGCAGGCCATCCACGTGCAGGGAAGCCAGCAGGAGCTCCTAGATGATCTGCAGCTGGCCCTGAGGACCACCCTGCACCTCCTGGGTGAGCTGGGCATCTGCTCCCCAGATAGCAGTGTACAGGAGCCGTGCCTGCTGGAGGAGTTCAGGAGCTTGACCATGAAAAAGGACCTGGAGCTCTGCAGGATTGTTGACCAGGTGCTAGAACTTTCCTCCCAGGCCAGCAAAGAAGTAACCTTGATAAACCAGGAAGTCTGGGAAGAGGCCCCAGGCACCCCCACCTGCAGCCAGTGATAGTTCAGTCCAGATGTCCTCAGGGGCCATGGTCCCCTCTCAGGGCAGGACTGATCCCAATGCAGGCCTGGCCCTTGAGTGGCTCCAGGCAGCCCGTCCTGCTGTTTTGTGGATATTTCCCAGCTGCCTTTTCAGCTGTTGACATTCCCTCCGTGCCTTGTTCAAAGACTGAAGGAAGTCCCGGGGATGCAGTTTTCTGAAAATTTTGTGCACTTTCCACCTGGGACATCTTTAGCACTTCTGGGTTTGCTGACTCGTGGTTTGTGTTTCATTGCCCGTCACTGCAGCAAAAGAACAACAGGTGTGTCCTGTGACAATGAAGCATCAGGCAGGCGACTGAAAGAGGGTAGCGCAGAGTAAGGATGACCAATGTAGGAGCAGGGGTTGTCTGAAGACTGTAGGAAGGAAGGTGGCTGGATTAACAAGAGGTTGACAGCAATGAAAAACAATCAGGAGCTGGAAAGATGTCTTGGTGGTTAAGTGCACTTGTTGTTCATGCAGAGGACCTGAGTTCAGTTCCCAGCATATATATATATATATGCCAAATACTCATAAATGTAAGATAAATAAATTAAAAAATTTAAAAAAGGATATAAGGAGATTTTGTATAAACCATTTATGCACCCGTTGTCTACAAGAGGGAGGGAGGGAGGGGAGAGACTGGTTAACTTTTGAGCTCATGGAATTGTGGAAGGCAGGGATGGAAAGGGGTTGATAGAGTCAGTTCGAAGGCTTTCTGTCATTAAGAGGGAGGAAGCCCCCATGGGTCTTTAAGCAAGAAGGCCAACCCTTTGCCTTTCAGTCTGTGTTTAGACAGGTAGGTTACCACTTTGGATGAGTCTCCATGAATCTGAGTTAGGCCTTAGGCTCCGTTGTGAGACACGTGTACAAACAGGGTGAAAGTTTGAGAGGGAGTTGGAATCCTGAAACAGGAATGTTCTGACAGGCTTGGTGCTTGGAACATCAGGGTAGGATGGGTTGGGAGGGGTCCAGGTTCTAAACAAGGACTATGAATAGCTTAGGAAGGAGGTTTAGGAAGACGCCCCCCACCCCAGTTGGAGGTCTGAGTATAAAAGCAACCTGCTAGTCCAGAAAGAAAAGTCCCATTTAGTTTGTAAGGTTTTGTCCTGGATTAGAGCTTTGCAACTTTGAGTTATAATCCAGGAAGAGGGGTTTAGGATGAGGCCAGGGCAGGTAATTTACAGGGAGGCCATACAGGGCATAGAACAGGACATCCTGGATCCCTGGGCAGCATGAAAGGAAGGAAGGTAGAGGTGTGTTATGAGAGTCCTGGGAGCAGCACTGAGGCTCAGCTGGTTGTGAGCAAGGGCCTGGCTAAACACATGAGAGCTATCTCAAAATCTCTGGGGCGTGACTGTCCAGGTAAGCTGAGTGGACATTCAGTGTCACAACTTCCCAGATAAACGCAAAAGGACCGGACCAGATGGACTGCGGGGAATAATAAAGAAAGTGATTGTTGAGGTCGGTGTTGAGAGAAACGAGAGGTGGAAGAAGGAATATGTGATTCCAAGGTATAAGCGCTGGAGACCTCCAAGTGGCTCGGAATTACAGCTTTGCTAATTGGGTGTAAACCTTGAAGTGTTGTGTGTGGGGAGGGTTAGTAGGCTATAAAAGTCAGGCTTTGAAGAGTCTGATAATTATGGGCTTCCTCCTCTCTGACCCTTTAGAAGTGAGTTGATATGCAGCTTGATGCACAGAGGTGGAGAGATGTGCAGTGTGATTTGGACCGTGGGCAGTGACAGTGAGAAGGGGGATGTCTGGATGGTAACAGCGAGCGAGCGGTAAGAGTTCCAGGAAGGAAGTGAGTCTGCGTGCCAGAGTAGGAGAAGAAAGTTGCTTCCCAGGGGCTTTGTGTTGGGCCAGTTACAGAGGTATGCAACTTTTCCTGCATGTCATGTTCCAGGACAAGGGTCAGACAACGAGGAATGACCAGGAAGGACTAGGAAAGGGAACGTCCGAGCAGACTGCATAGGAATGGATCTGTCTGTCTGGGCTTGGATAGAATCCTTTCACCTCAGGAAATTATGGTTACAAAAGATATAATCTGCCCCCTGGGTCAATGAAAAAAAAAAAGACTAATTGACAGTGTTGTTCCGGGTTTAAGGAAAATGAAGGTGACGGGAGCAGCAACTTGTCAGTTGGTAGCAGTTGTAATTCCAACAGATTCACCTATCCTAGGAGTCCGGTGTTTAAGACCTAGCAAGGACAGAAGCTGAGTGGTCTGGCATCTTTCTTCACTCTTACTGATTTCTAGTGTCCCTTTCGTACACACAGACCAGGGGCAAGGCACACTCTTGCCCAGTGGCCCAATGGCTACATTTAAAGCAGGCCCCAGGTGGTCCAGCCCTGAGTGGGGAGAGTGTCTCTCCCATGTTTGAGTTACCCTGTGATGAACCTTGGCAGAAGGCTGACACCAGCATTTGCTATTTCACCTCATCTTCTTTAAGATTTTTACATTTAAGAATCTTCTGTCACTGCTGGAAGTGTAAAGAGCTGTCCTCTGGTCTTTGAATCGGTTTTCTACTATCATGTGCCAACTGGAAGCTGAAATAAAGGGGTTGTCATAATTTCCCCATTGTTATCCAAGGTCAGGTTGGTTTGTTTAGTTTCTGATAAGTGTTGGATCAAAAGCAGGGCCCCTAAAGGCTTGTTTACCAGGAACCTCCCTTAGTCCACCCCAAAGGTCAACTACCTCGGGCAAGGACTCTAGTTCCTGGACATTCTGAATAGCCTCTGTCAGCTCAGAGACCACACCCTGGTGACTGTCCTATAAAACTGGCTTGCGTCCCCACCATTTCCTCTACTCTCGGTCCCCTGAGAGATTAGCCTTGACAGTCTGATTCCCAATAAACCTTTCTTTCTACCCAAGAAGAGGTCTAGTTTGGTGGTTTCACCGCTCCCTCTTGCAGACTATGCGAGAGACAAATAAGGCTGGATTTTTCCATAGATCCCCTAAGTAATATCTTTCGTTTTTGTCAAAATTGACCACCGTAAAGGCTGCCACCTTCCTGCCAGGAGGCAAGTAATCATGAAGCCCTGCTTGAGGAGCTCATCCGAATTGGGTTGATAATTCAGTAAGGATTGGTGCATGAAATGTGCTGTATGGCACGGCACCTGCTGCATTAGGATATCTATCCTGGATGCAAAGAACATCGTCATGAGTCTGAACTGTCATCTGGATACACTCCCTTTCTTTGGGAGACAGGGTGGAGGTCAGGATGACATAAATGTTGGTCCTGGTTAGGTTTAAGGACTGGGTAATAGACTGAAAATTATTGTGGTAGAAATCGGTGTCAGATAAGAGGCCCAAACATGGTTCTGTTTAAGAGAGCTCAGCGAGGTAAGGGAGATGGGGTCACATGTGGGGCCCTCAGGTCCGGCACCCTGTGGAGTGGAAGTCAGAGTGGGGTCCAATGAGAGAAGTCCAATGATAGCAGGCATGTGGGGGTGAGGGGAGGGACAGGTAAAGGTTTGATGGAGGGAAGGGTGGTGGGTGAAAAGCTAGACAGGGAGGATGGTCCTCAGAACAGGTCTGGCTGAACACAAAAGAGGAGCAGTGGCAGGCAGGAGGGGATTACTGTTAGGAGGCAGTGGCAGAAGAAGGGTCTCAAGGTTACTATGTAGTTTTGACTCTTCTTTACAATTCTAGGAATTGAAGAAAACATTCAGCAAGGCAAATGATTCCCACTTACCTGAGGGTAACTCCCATCCCCCAGACAGTGGAAAAGCAAATTTATTCAAATATTTCCAATCTATGAATTTGTCTGAGTCTTGAATTCTTTGAAGACATATCAACTCCTTCATTTAATTAATGAGTTCAATGAATGAATGTTCTAACGAATATTTACTGTATTCTTGTACAAGGGTCTTGATTTTACTCTCTGAAAACCATCCCTAAGTTTTGAGATGAAGGCCCTGTGGTAGAACATCACATTTGTAGCATGTCAAGTTCTGGCTTCACTTCTGAGTACCAAAATAATAAAATAAAAAACATGTAACGAAACTTCATTAAAAATAAAGTTCAGTTCCTGGGGCTGGAGGGAGGACAGCTGTTGATAAGGAATTTAGAAATCGAATGGACTATTCAGTCTCTGAGGCCCTGGCCCACTGGTTCTGCCATTTGCTAGTTTGTAATTTTGGGCAAGTGACAAAAAATTCCTTTAATTCTTTTTTATTTTTTTGAGACAGGGTTTCTCTGTGTAGCCCTGGCTGTCCTGAAACTCGCTCTGTAGACCAGGCTGGCTGGCCTGGATCTCACAGAGATCTGCCTGTCTCTGGAGTGCTGGGAATAAAGGCGTGCACCCCCACCACCAGGCGATAAATTCGTAAAAAGAAAACATCGAAGAATAATGTTTTGGCTAAGTTGCATCAGTTTGATCTAAGTTAAAAGAGCTATTTGGGAAGAGCAACTTCAGGTGAGAGGATGTCTTCATCAGATGGCCTGCAGGCAAATCTGTAGGGCATTTTCTTGATTAATGATTGATGTGGGAGGGACCAGTCTCACAAGATGGGGGGGGGAGTGCCACCCCGGGGAGGTGGTCCTGGGTGAAGCAAGGCAACAATCTGTCCCTCCCAGGCTCCTTCAGTTCCTCCCCCGACTTCTCTCAGTGATGGAGTGTTGTGGTCTGAGAGTCACATAAACCCTCCCTTCCCCAAGTTGGTTTTGGTCATGGTGCTTTATCACAGCAACAGACACATTAAGACAAATTAGAAATGAAAATAAAAGCCATAGGGGGACTACATGAACGTATAGCAGTCCTTAACGTTATAACGCTAGTAGTCTCGTTCCCTTTGGTGGCGGTGGGCACAGGAGTTGCTCACTAGTTTTGTGTTCCCTCATGGGTACCAGGAGTACCGGCTATGCACATTTTTGTTAGTTAGCGGGTTCATTAAGAGCAAAGAATGAGCCAGGCGGGGGTGCACTCGGGAGGCAGAGGCAGGAGGATGTCAGCGAGTTCGAGGCCAGCCTGGTCTACTGACGAGGCTCCAAAGCTACACAGAGAAACTCTGTCTCGAAAACAAACAAACAGAATAAGAGCAAAGTACTCGGCACACTACTCTTGCTTACGAGAGAAAACCTGGAGCTAGGGGCTTCTGCACGTACCCACGCGGAGCCCTTACCTTCCTACCGAACATGCCCCGCAACTACAAAAGCGGCACCGCCGACCTGCACCACGCACGCGCAGCCCGGAACCCTGCGCGAAGACAGCTGGCGCCTGCGCAGTGGTGGGCCAGCGAGGCGACCACACGGCGCGTGCGCGGCGAGCAGTAGGTGGGGGCGGCGCTGGCCGGTCAGGGGTGGCTAAGGGGCGGGCGGAGGGCGGGAGCCGCGAGGGAGACGGGGCGGGCCGAGGGAGCGGCGCCGTGGGGTTGGCTGCTGCCCTGAGGCCGGACTCAACGGATCCGGGCCGCGCCACCGGGCGAGCTCGCCGCCCGGCCCCAGCCCGGAGCCAGCGAGTGAGCGAGGCGGTGCCGCGCGGTAAGAGCCAGGGCAGGGTCTTCTCCGCTTGTGCCGCGGGCATGGCCGTCTCCTCAGCGCCGCCCGCGCGGCCAGGCCCGGGCGGCCCCGCAGACCCTGGCGGCCTCGCGCCTGCGCTGTCCCCCTTGCCACCCCCCACCCCCAGCCATCGGCGCCTGCGCCGTCTCCTTCCCCGGTGGACCTCACAGCTTGCTGGGGCAGACCCCCCCCGGGAGCCTTGCCTGGTGTGGGACCCAGCTGGCTGGGGATCCCATCCTGGCGGAGAGGCTGGGTGCGACCCTCGTGTGCCCTCGGGAGAGCCGGGGCATTCACCCTGCTCCCTCTCCCTGGGCTGGGACAGGTTGCCTCCCCGTCTGGAGGATTGAGGGTGGGGAGCAGGGGCGGGGAGCGGAGGACCCCCGAAAGCTGGGTCCTGCTGTTAGGACCTGGCTGAAGCTGGCAGTGTTCTTTATTCTTGAGACTTGGCTAATTGTGTCGGATTGGATGTGTGTTGGTGAAGAAATGCTGCATTTCCAGACATGGGGTGTGTGTGTGTGTGTGTGTGTGTGTGTGTGTGTGTGTGTGTGTGTGTGTGTGTGTGTGTGTGTGTGTGTGTGTACGTTTGAGACATGGGGCGTGAGTGTGTGGGTGTGTTGTGTGTGTGTTTAGCTATTTACAAACCAAATTTCCGTAATCCTTCAAATACTGGCAACCTTGATTTGTTTATTCTTTTGAAGATCCTGCCCTAAAGTGCAGGGGGGGGAAGGAACCACCTGATAGAATGGAAAATAGACTTCGTCATGAAAAAGAATCTTAGGCTTGGGCCCATACAGGTACTCGGGAGGCGGAGGCAGGATGAGCTGGGAGTTGGGCTGCGGAGCGAGATACCTTGTCTCAAAATAAGAATAAATAAATAATAGACAAATCGTGGGACCCAGCAAGGCTTGTCACTCAGGAGGTTAATCTGAGGTGAATTCAGCTGTGGACCACAGGCAACAGCAGCAGTTCTTTCTAAAGGTTTGGAGTCAGGGACCTGCGTTGTTGCATAGGCGGTTGTAAGGGCACTGTCCTTTGGTTGGTCCTCCTTCAGTGTATTAGGAAGAACTTTGATTGCATTAAGTCTGTGTTGAATTGGTACAGATTTTTTTCTTGTGCTTTCATTTACTGGATTAATATAAGAAACTATTGGTGATTGAAGTGTGCTGGAGGATTAAGTTATCTATAAATAGCTTCACTCTCCCTTGGGATTAAGGACGTGGAGTATGGCTAGATACATGCTTTATAGCTAAACAATTTCCCCAACCCCCATCGCCTCTTAACCTTTAGTTTGGAGATGGAGGTCAGACAAAGCATCCCAAAACACTGTATCCCTCACTTTGTTGCTACACAGGACCAGAACTTTCAGTCCTGCTTCAGCCTCTTGAGTAGCTGGGATTAATTACATTCTTTGTGCACACATACAGAGGAGCTTCGGAAGCAAATGTAATAGTAAAGAACCCTTGTCTACAGTTTTCAGCAAGTGTCTACAGTTTTCAGCAAGTGTCTATGTGACACTGAGAAATGTTTATTGATTCTTTTATCAATAAAAACTCAGATATAGAGGTAAAAATCTGTATGACCAGGGAAGAAGCAGTGGCAAGGAAGTGACCAATGACTTCTTTCTCCTTCCTCAGTCCAAAGGCTGAGAATCTTCCTCATCCTCTTCCTACTATTTCCTGTGTCTCTCCATATGTCCTGGGTCCTCCAGAACCTCAATGGTTAATTCTGGTCAACTAGTAGCTACCTCTGCCTTCTGATTCAATGTGAACTTTATTGGCATTCTTGGGAGTGTCAGAGTAGGATCACCACCACTGTCTGGCCAAGTGTCAGGAGTTTTAATGACACTGAATTTTATTCAGTTTACAGGTCCATCATTTCTAAAAAACAAAGTAAATCGAAAAACACTCGAGTTTCTTGGTGATAACATTAAGCATTTAGGGGCTGGAGAGTTGGCTCGGTGGTTAAGAGCATTTGTTGCTCTTACAGAGGACTTGGGTTTGGTTTCCAACACCCACATACATGGTGCCTCACAATCATCTGTAACTACAGATGCAAGGGACCCAACACCTTTTTGACTTCATGGCTACAAAGCATGCATGTAGTATGCATACAGACATTCTTGCAAAACACTCATACACATAAATAAATCTAAAGAAATTTTAAAGTTCAGCATCTAATTGGACATGGTTTTATAAGCTTGTAGTTTCAGTTATATTGGGGGCTGAGGTGGAAGGATTGCTTGAATCTAGTCTGAGCAATGTAGGTAGGCCCTATTAAAAAAAGATTAAGCATCATTTATGTTGGCAGTACCAAATGACTGTGTATTAATTGCAAATGGTAAATACAGGTCAGTTTATTGTGAGTTTAGAAATAAAGAGAGCATGAAGTCTTGTTTCACTGTTAGTCTGTTTAAGGAAAAGTTTCTGGGCTGTTGCTGTTAAGATTCATGTACAGCTGCAGCCCTCAGGAGACCAAAGCAAGTGGAGTTCCAGGACAGCCAAGTCTACACAGAGAGGTCCTGTCTCAAAAAACCAAGGCAGGGAAGAGATTTAATACGTTTGTTTTTGAGACTGGATCTTCTGTAGGTCAGGCTGTCCTAGAACCCACAGTCTAGACAGTGATGACTTCATACTTTTGATTCTTGTGCCTGTATCTCCCAAATGCTAGAATTAGAGGTGTGTTACCATGTCCAGGTTTATGTAGTGCTGGGGACTAAATGTAGAGATTTGTGTATGCTCAGCAAACATTAAGCATGTATTTTTAGATCTGAATTCGTTTCTGAGAGTAAGTATGACTTTGTGGTGATTTACCATAGATGTAAAAAGCCATGAAATTTGATATTAAGCATTTCCTGCTTGGATTATCCTTAAAAATACAGTTCTTGAGCTGGGGGGCTCAGTGGTGAATAAGGCTCTTGCTGCACAGGAAAGAGGACTGAGTTTGGATCCCCAGAATACAAGCAAAGCTGACATGGTAGTGTGCATCTGTCATTGTAGCGCTGCAGTGGCAAGTTCTGAGGAGACAGGAGGATTGCTAGTGTCCACTGGCCAGGTAGCCTGTGGTATGCAGCAGCAGACAGGACTAGCACCCAAGTGTTCTTCTGACTGGTGGATGTCTAAATGCAAGAACACACACACACACCCAATGCACATACACAAAGATCAATATGTGTATTGCTCACATGATATAAAATGCCAGGAGTTTTCCCCCCTTCAGTTTAGTGTATGTGTGTTGTGTGTGTGTCTCTTCATCTGATATGTGTCATGTGCATAAAGTGCCCCTAGTAGAGGTTGACAGGTCCCTGGAATTGTGAATGTGTGCCAGCAAAATAATACTAAAGGAAATTCCTGTTGGTTGGAATTGTTAGTACTGAATAGACTAGCTGCAAAGTAAAAAACTCCCATCAGCCCCGAAGCTTTTGTTGTGGTGTTTTTTGTTTTTTTCCCCTCAGTTGTTTGATCTGAAACAACTTCATGATCAAATTGGTCTCCAGGATATAACTTAGTGACCAACATCCCTGGAAATCAGGGAAATGCAAATTAAAACTACACCCGAGATACTATCTCATCCTAGTCAGTGGCATTTGTACTGGCCTGCTCTTGGGGTCCTGACAGGTTATGCCCTCAGCTACAGCCACTAAGAGCACCACTTGTGCACATTCACTACGTTCCATTTTAAAAGGTCCCTGCCCACCTCCCATCTTTCTCTTTCTCTCTGCTTCTTTGCCTGTCTCTTCTCTCTCCCTTTGCCACTCTCTTCTCTTCTGCTGCTTCTGCTCCCAGAGGCCAGTCTCCCCTTCTCCCCTCACCCCTTTCACATTCACTTTCCCCCAATAAAAAACCCCTCAACCCAAGCTCTGTTGAATGGTGTCTTCCTCTCACACCTTTTAAAAAATTACAACACATATATTCAATGGACTATTATTCAGCTGTAAATAAAAGTGAAATCACAGAATTTGCAGGATGAACTCAGAAAGCATATTAAGTGAGGTTTTCCAAATTCTGAAAAACCAAATCACATGTTCCTCATATGTAGGTCCTAGCTTGTAATATGTTCATGTATGTGTGCATAAACAGGTGTAAGTGTGGATTAAATAAGAAAGTTAAGGGAGACTGTTAGGTGATGAAGAAAATGGGCAAAAGGACACAGGTCATGAGGGAGGACTTCAAACTCTTCTCTAGTTTAACTCTGTCATGGGTGGTGTTGTGTGTGTGTAAGTGAATTCAACTTTCAGTATATTGAAATAGCAATAATCATTTTTTCTAAAAGACTGTAATAAGTCTTATTCTTTTGAAGCAGTGGTTGTGAAAGTTGGGCTTCTTTTTAACTCCATTGATTATCAGTACACTAGGACATGATTAGTTGCTGAGTACATTTGTCTTATTGACCCACTTTAGAAAAACATCAAAATTTTTTGTTGTTCTGGAGGGAGTGGTTGGCAACTGGAAATTTTTCTGTGTTTTTCATTCCATTTAATACTATCAAATCATTCCATCGCAGTTATTATGTAAATTGTATTGTTGTTTATAAAGTATGGTTTTAAGAAGACTTAAGCTTGGGATGTAGCAAGTAGTAGAGTATTTGCCTAGTGTGCACAAGGCCATGTGTTCAATCCCCAGCATCACAGATATAGGCAAATAAGGCTTGAAGAATTGAAGGGGCGGCGGGGATATTGAGGCAACCTTGATCCATAGCAAGTATAGAGGACGTTAATGTTCATGAAGCTTTTACTACAATTCATGGTAGTTTGCTCTGTGCCTATCCTCCAGAAAGTACAGTTATAAAAGCATACTGGTAAAAAAAAAAGTGTAGGGTTAAAGTAAAACAAAAAGATGGTAGGGATCAGAAAGTATCAAAAGGTATATGTTGAAAGCCTTAAAATGAATGTAATCCAAATTTGACATTGTGTGCACCAGTAACACCAGCACTCAGGAGGTAGAGGCAGGAGGACCAGGAGCTCAGAGTCATCCTCAACTGCAAAG